GAAATGAGGAGAGGCTTAGGAATCTCCAGGACATCTTTAAACATTCCAACATCTGAATTATAGGGGTACCAGAAGGAGAAGAGGAAGAGCAAGAAATTGAAAACTTACTTGAACAAATAATAAAGGAAAACTTCCCCATTCTGGCTAAGGAAATAGACTTCCAGGAATCCAGGAAGCTCACAGAGTCCCAAAGAAGTTAGACCCAAGGAAGCACACACCAAGGCACAACATAATTACATCACCCAAGATTAAATATAAGGAGAGAATCCTAAAAGCAGCAAAAGAAAAGGAGACAATTACTGACAAAGGAGTTCCCATCAGACTGTCAGCTGGTTTCTCAAAAGAGACCTTACAGGCAAGAAGGGGCTGGAAAGAAGTATTCCAAGTCATGAAAGGCAAGGACCTATATCTAAGATTGCTCTATCCAGTAAAGCTTTCATTTAGAATGGAAGGGCAGATAAAGTGCTTCTCAGATAAGGTCAAGTTAAAGGAGTTCATCATCACCAAGCCCTTATTACATGAAATGTTAAAGGGACTTACCTAAGAAAAAGAAGATAAAAAAACATGTACAGTAAAATGACAGCAAACTCACAATTATTAACAACCACACCTAAAACAAAAGCAAATGAAGCAACTAGAACAGGAATGGAACCACAGAAATGGAGATCACATGGAAGGGTAGCAACAGGGGAGTGGGAAGAGGAGAGATGGGGAAAAGGTATGGAGAATAAGTAGCATAGATGGTAGGTAGAAAATAGACAGGGGGAGGGCAAGAATAGTATGGGAAATGTAGAAGCTAAAGAACTTATGACACATGGACGTGAACTAAAGGGGGAAATGTGGGTGGGAAAGGATGTGCAGGGTAGATGGGAATGAAGTGGGGGGTAATGGGACAACTGTAATAGCATAATCAATAAAATATATTTAAAAAAATAAGGACCCCCCCCAAAAAAAGTTAGTGTGGCTTCTCTTTTCCTTCCCTCCAAATGTCCTTTACTTTCTCCTCACCCGCCACCTACACTTAAGCACATATACAGGGACCAAGTTTATTTCTGTCACAAGATGAGCAGTCATTTAACCTGTGGGTGCCTTAGCCCTACTCACCTGTGAAATGAGGACAATAATTATATCTACTTCAGAGGACTGCCATGAGAATTAAATGAATTAAAGTGTGTCCAGCACTTACGTTATCTGGCATGTTGTAAATGTCATGTCGGTGTTTGTTCAATTGCCACATAAATATGACACTGATTATATTGGAGTTAGCTTAGACCTTACAGGTGAAGGACACCATCCTCCACAAGACAGTCCTTACTTTAGACACCAGCCACAAGCTCTGGGGTTCCCAGGCCACCTGTGCTACTGATTATGCTGTCTACTAATTTTAAGGGTCTCCTCTGTCCCCCTCAGGTTCAATAAGTCACTAGATTGGCTCATAGAACTCAGTAAATTGATGTAGTTAGGATTACAGATGTATTGTAAAGGATACAAATCAGGACAAACAGATGAATAGGTGCATAGGACGCCATCTGGGTGGGTCCCAAACACAAAGTTACTTTGTACTCAGTACTCCTTAGCTCTCAGCATATCAGTACATTATTACCAACTAGGAGGCCCACCGGGGCATCAACATCCAGGAGGAGGTTTTTATCGGGGTTTCATTACACAGCCACGGATGGTGGAATCATTGGCCACATGATTAAACTCAGTCTCCAGCCCTCCTCCCTTTCCCACTTGGAAAATTCCAAGGATTGAGAGGTTATCTTCCAGGAACCAGGGACAAAGATCACCCAAATTCTTTATTATTTGTACAACATTAAGAAAGTTTAGTAAATTGAATAGGCAGACGTGGACAAGAAAGCATTTCAAGATGGAGGGCATCTAAAAATAAAGAGGCCAAAATAAGTCTGGCAGTCATGGCACAGTAGAAAAACTCCTCAGCTGTATTGGAATGTACCAGCCTTGAAGTCAAAACACTGTTGGGTAAATTCAAGAGTTAGAACATTTTTAGTTTTAAGTTCAAGTTAATAAACTTAGTAATTAATGCATGTAGAAAGCTATTGTTCTAAGGACTGGGATCATGGGACCCCCCTTGACTCCAAGAGACCCTCAAGCAATTCGACCTTTGTGCCCAGGAGGACTACAGGTGATCAAGATGGTGTCTGAGCTATTGTGCTCCAGGGAGAGAATGACCATCTGCTGACCAGGGTGCAGACAAAGAATCACCAGTCAACAGATGAAAGGATGCTAGGAAAATTGCTGGACTGCAGCTTTTATCTGGTTAACCTTTTCCCTGAATTCCAAACCTATTTTTTTTTCCTGAATTCCAAACCCCTAACCTACACTTTTCTTCTCCTTATAAAAATGGTCAGTTTGAGATGAGATGTAAGATGGTCTTTTAGGGTTCATAACCTGCAGTCTTCTCAGATCGCCAACCACCTGAATAAAGTGCCCATGAAGTTTCAATCCTTGCCTCTATTTATTGGTTTTGGTAGTGACAGGAAGCTCAAACACCAACTTCTCTAGTTTCAAGACCAGGACTTTGACAATGGTTCTGCTATTTGATAACTATGGTGCCATCTTGTGGGAGTATAGAGATTGTTGTAAATCATTGTAAATCCTTTCTTTGAAAGGGGGCCATAATTCAAATAGATATAGATACAACTTAGTGGATTAGAACAACAAAAATATACTGTTTTTCACAATACTGCAGGCTGATTAGGCAGCTTTCCGGCTCCACTGCAATTCACGTGTCTGCATTCAGCTGGCTGGTGGCTAGGTTGAAAGCTCCAAGAAGGCCTCCTTCACGCATGGGCTTGGGGGGCCTTGGTGCTGAACAGCTAGGGTACCTCAGTTCTCACCTACACAACGTCTCTCTATAGGTAATGTCCCATCTTCCAGTGCTTCTCTTTACAGCCCTATAGCAGCAGAATAGCCTGGATTTTTGACAAGAAAGCAAAAGCTGCCAGGTGTGTTGAGGCCCAGCTCTTTTCCACCATGTTCTATTGGTCAAAGCAGGTCACAAGGCCAATCTAAATTCCAGGGGAGGGGAAACAAGCTCCAGCTTGTTGCATGTGTGTGCAGGTAGGGGAGAAATCATTGCAGCCATCTTTGGAAACTGGACCATATCCTCTGACTCCCCCTTTACTCATGTGAAAATGGTATTTTATTATCTACTTCAACTAGATGAGTGAGATTAAGAGACATGATATGTGAAACATGATAGCATTTTATAATTTATAAAGTGCTAAACAATTATAGGTAGATGATAAAGGCAGATTGAAAGAATGAGAGATTGTACAGGACTATAAAAGGAGATAAAGGGGGTTACTGTAATATTAATAGCATTTATTGAGCATTTGTTTTATGCTAGACATTGTACTAAGTGCTTTGCAGGTATTATCTTCTTTAAATTACAACCACCTTAAAAGATGGATATTTCATTGCCATTTTACAGGAAAGAGACTGGAGGCAAGTGGCAGAGCCAGATTTGAATTCAATTCTGTTTGGTTCTGAAGCCTTATCTACTGTACCCAGAGTTCTTTTATCACTTGTATCATAATTAATCAGCAATTAGGTAAGGGGAGGTAGCACCTACCCCAGAACTACTGAAACAGAATTTTTGAAGGCAGAACCCAGAATCTGCATTGTAACAGCCACGGTAATGTGGGAGAAGCATTCAACCTGTGTATAGTAAGCATACAAAGGTTTTTCAGTAGTTCAAAGACATAAGAGGACCACCTTAGAGAAAATTTAGGATTGCAGATACAGAAAAGGAATAAGAAAAGTGCCTAGCATTCAGAGAATAATGAAAGGCTTTCAAAATAATTATGCTTTCTAGAGGTTGATGCTACAGCTGGGACATGAAGTGAGACTAAAAAGTTAGAAGCTTGACCCAACAACTTGCAATGAACCAAATTTACATTTTGTTTATTAATTCATCTACTTTTCACTTTTTTGCCTTTAGGCTTGTTATTTTCTGTAGAAAACCACTAGTTCCATCTTCACTCCACCCAACTTGTCTAACATCTCTTCATTTCAGGTCTATATGCCTCCTCTGGGAGGTGTTCCACATGTGTGCTGCACCTTCCTCCATCCTATCATTTATGGGCCCTATATTGTAAACGTTGTTTATGTTCCTTCTTTGGCACTAGACCGGAGACCCTTGAGGGTAAGGACCGTGTAGAAAGAGAGGAAGGAGAAAAGCAGATATTAAGAGATGGTTTTTAGAACCACTGAATGAACATAGGAGGTGAAGGAGCCACTGCTAAGTTGCACAGTGTTTGTATTTTGAAGACTTATTCAGAGAATAAGATGAACTTTATGGAGTTTACCAAATGGTAGTAGTTTGATATATGGCAGCCCCACAGATGTCTCCTCATAACCAAAACAATTAAAAGCAGCCTAGCAAATTGGTCCCTTCAATAGTTACATGCCTTTTATCATAGCCCATATAACAACTGGTTGATATTTTGTAAACACAAAAACTTAGTTTTCTTTTGTTTTTGTTTTTTTCTTCACGGGCACGAACGATCCTGATAAGTGATTTAGGAAAATTACTTAACCTATAACACTGTTTCTTAATTTTTTGGAATGAAGTGACTAAATCGTTCCTCCAAATTGCTAATGGTGACCAAATGTGGTCACCTCAACACGCTTTACAAACTTTTGGTGGAAAGTAATGACATAGATAATACATTTATAGGACTACTATTAATGTTATGCGGTGACTGCATGCCCTCTTTCCAGCCCCTCTAAATCACAACAAATTCTAACAGATTGAGAGAGGAATAGTAGAATTTAGCTCTAACTTTTAGGTACCTTCCTATTCGGGCAGTATCTGCCCCAATCTAGCATGGCGACATGGGCTCTTTCAAGTTCACATCCATAGTTACACTACCGGAGACTTATTGGAACCACCCGTTGGGTAGGCTCTGCTTCCTCGACGCCCTTTGATGACGACAAAACCTCTGCTTCGAAACCGGCCAGATCTAGTTTGCGCAGGCGCAGCGCGGGCGCCAGTGGGCGGAGGTGGTCGGGATGAGTGGAGAAGGGACGGAGGTCGCTGTGAGTTGTGAAGCCGTCGCGGGAGGAGGAGGCGGCAGTGGCGGCGGCAGTGGCGGCAACGGCAACAAGAAGAGGGACTCGCTAGGGGCCGCGGGCTCACCGGCTCACCTCATTATCAAGGGTACGGAGTGATAGGGATCTAGCGCTGGCGGACGCGTTTCGGAAGCCCCACCTCCCAGACGGTGACCTTTGACCCGGGGCGGTGCCACGTACCACCGCCCAGCTCCCCGCGGCTCCGCGTTTGAGTGCGTGTTATGGGAAGGCCGTGAGTCCTGGCTGTGTCCGCTATTTCTCTGCGCTTGGGGCCTTCTAGTAACTGCAAGGCCAGTCTCTCACTTCCTCAAGGGGAAAAAAAAACACCTCTAAGGACTTGAGCCTTCGGCCACCTCATCCCCCACCCCCAAACCCGGCGTTCCTGTCGCAGAGGCTCTGCACGTGGCCTCGCGATCGACCTGGACTGCGAAGAACCGCGAAACTGGGAGTCGGGAAGGCCTGCGCCTCCAGGCAGGTCGCTGAGGAGTTGTGTGAGTTAGGTCATTCGCTTTACCCACTCCAGCGCCGTCTGCCCTGGAGTGAATGGGGTAACATGAAAGCCTCTTGAAACACTAAATTTACATAGACATGTGCAGATGTCCATTTGTCCTGTGTTCCTTGAGCTGGGAGAAGGTTTCGACCTAGCTAAGACCTGGATTGTCGCAGAACCAGAATGTAGTTTGATTTCCACAGCTCACAATAAGAGTTTCCTGCAACAAGATCTTTGCCAACAAGATCGCTGATCTTTCTTAGCCCCATCCCTATCCCTGTCAGCCCCACCATGTGGCAGTGTTGAAGAAACCCTTGTAGGACGCCAGACCTTCAGCACCAGCCGCAGATTGGCACTGGCTCCCCTTGGATGCCGCCTCTGCCATTTTAACTTTATCTCAAGATTGTAGCAGCCCCAACACGGCTATTTCTAGACTTCAGGTTGTCTTTCAAATCTACAATAATTAGGAGTGTGGGAGTGGTGCATGGGTGTTAGGGCTAAATTATAATAGTTTATACGTGTAATCTTAGTGAGCTGCTACTTGGTTATTTTAGTTGCGGTAAAATACACGGGACAAAATTTATTTTAACCATTTTAAGTGTATAGTTCAGTGGCATTAATACACTCACATTGTTGTGTCACCTTCCATCTTCAGACCTTTTTCATCTTCCCAAAGGGAAGTCTGTCCCCATTGAACACTTAACACCCTGCAGCCCCTGACAACCACCATTCTGTTTTGTCTCTGAGTGGGACTACTCTAGGCACTTTATAGAAGTGTAATTAAACAGTATTTATCCTTTTGTGACAGGAGTAGTTAACATGATGTCCTCAAGGTTCGTGCATGTTGTAGCATGTCAGAATGTCTTTTAAAGCTAAGTAATATCTGTAGTGAGTGTGTGAACACATACACATGACGTTTTGTATATCCATTTATCTGTGAATGAACACTCCTGTTGCTTCCACCTTTTGGTTATTGTGAATAATGCTGCTGTGAACATGGATGTGCAAATATTTGTTTGAGTCTCCACTGTCAATTTTTTTGAGTATATAGCCAAAACTGCTATTGCTGCATCAAAGATAATTCTGTTTTTTAATCTTTTGAGCGCTCACCATACTTGTTTTCCATAGAGGCTGTATGGCATATTCCCACTAACAGTGAACAGGAGTTCCAGTTTCTCCACATCCTTAACAGGACTTCTTGTTTTCTGTTTCCTTGCCAGTCCCTTCTAATGGCAGTGAGGTAGTATCTTTTGGTTTGCATTTCCCTAATGACTAGTGATGTTTAGCATCTCTTAATGTGCTTTTTAGCTGTTTGTATAGCTTTTTTGGAGAAATGTCTATTTAAATCCTTTGCCCATTTTTAAATGAAATAATTTTGTGTGTTTTTTTTTAAGTTGTAGGAGTTCTGTATGTATTCTGGACATCAGCACCTTTTCAAATACATGATTTGTATATATTTTGCCCCCACTCCATGGGTTGCCTTTTCACTCTGCTGATCGTATCCTTTGGTGTACAGAAATTTTTTAATTTTAATGTACTTTTTTAAAAAAAGATAATTCAAGGGGTTTTTTTCAAGTTAAGTTTTTTTCTCAGTTTTTCCAAAACTGAGAAATATGTCTAGATATGTCCTTGAAGTGATATGTCTATCACTTCACTGTCCTTTTGAAGTGATATGTGTATCACTTCAAAATATGTCTAGAATGTCCTTGGCTTTTTCAATGGAACCATTCTTTTCATTCAGAAAAATCAATTTTTAGTTTATCTTATTTGAAGACTGTCAAATATGGCCAGATGTTTGTTTAATCCTACTGCCAAAGAGTAGTGAAAGGGAAGCACGTAAATGATTTCAGTACTTATGCCCTAGGTCTTTGAGGGTTTCTGTCCCACAGGTGGGTGTTAGAGGTGGGGACTGGGAGACAGGAGGGCTTCCTGGAGGATGGAGTGTCTGATCTGAGTCTTGAGGAATAACATTAGCAGCAGTTAAGAAAAGAAGGCAAGTATTTTGGAATTTGTTTGGAACAGCATAAGCAAAAGCATATCTGGGAAACTACACATGTCATTACGGTGGGACTCAGAGAGGCAGAGTTTGGTGGATATCTGACCGTATAAGACTTTTTACCTTTATAAGGAAATTGGACTTTTTCTTCAATGAGAGGAAACTGTGCAATAATAAGTATGAGAATCATGTGGTTAGATTTGGATTTTTAAGTAGAGCACTTGGGCAGACAGTAGTTGATCCTCATTTTGCAGATTGCATTGCCTGTTTGTTAAGATAAATTCATAACTCCAAAATCAACACTGGTGGTGCTTTCATAGTCATTTCCACATAGGCAGGGTGGAGAGAAATTTGAGTTGCATTATACGCACATTCAGTTGACACTGAGCAATACAACACTGTGCTTTTTGTTTCATCTCTCATACCATAAACAAATGTCCTTTCTGTTTAATGCCATGTTTTTCACATTTTGTACTATGTTTTGGTGATTTTGTTTTTGAAAGTGGTTTTCAGGTGTAGTGCTGAAGTGGCTATATGCACAAGAAGGCTATGTGATGTGCTTTACTGAGTATTAGAGAAATGTCTTTTCAGGCCTGAGTTACAGTGGTGTTTGCTGTGAGTTCAGTGTTAATCAGCAATGCAGAAAAAAAAGAAAATTCACCAATCTGTGTGTGAGGCCACTTCAGAAAGTGCCAAGGTAACATTTATGGTGTGTGATGAAGTGATGGAAGAGCAGCTAAATTTGTGGATTTATGAGATGATGACCTATGGAGAAAGCATAGTGGACAGCACTGTTGTGCAGTTAAAAGGCAAAGAAATTTATAGTCAGTTATCAATGGTCAGGAAAATGTTAAATCCTTCTGCTAGTGCTTGCTGGAACTTTCAAAAGTGGTACAGTGTGAAAAATGTTAGACTTGTGGTGAAGCAGGTTCTGCAGATCAGGAGGCTGTAGAAGAACTTTAAAAATACCTGCTGAGTGTTATACAGGAAAAAGTATTATTGGAAGAGTAGATTTTCAACACCAAGGCTGGTGTGTTTCACAAGGGTCTTGGTAAATCTATATGACACTAATGGTGTTTTGGTTGACAAAAATGTGACAAGAGGCTTGCAGAAACCTATCCTGTATTTCTTTTGGGAGCATTGTTCAGTATTCTCTAGTTCTGTGTTTGTGGCAACTTTATAAGCATAACTACTGCAAATAATGAGAATTGACTCTGTATGGAGTGGATTATAGAGAGATATAATAAACTGTTGATGTAGTCAAAGTGAGACAAGCAGGGATGGAAAGGAGGGTGATTCAATAAGTCATGGGGAAGAACAACATCTGTATGGTGACACTGAGGGTATTATCAGGAAAAATTACTAAGCAGTAAATTGTTCCTTAATATACACAAAGCCCCACATATTACATTAAAGGTGTCCGAATTTAGGGCCAGGGGAAAAAAGCATCTTTTATTAGATAATGAGAGAGCTGGAATGTACTGTGTTCCTCCTTGTTCCCTATTCCCATAGCATATTGGTCTTTTATAAAAGTGATTATCCTATCTTTGGGATGAAGGGATATTTGTCTAACTCCCACAGTAGAGTATGGACATTCGGAGAACAAAAGATGATATCTTTTATCTTTTATATCAAACAACAAAAGAATGTTTCCCATGTACAATAGCTGTGTGAAAATCTGTAGCTTACAGTTATTTACATTATTTGTAGAGAATTTATTTTATTTGTAATTCTTGGACTCCTACAAACTCTGAATTATTATTATGTGCTTGTTTTGTTATTGTAATGTTGTAACAGAATTAGTGGCTTAATTTCTACAGTAATTTCTCTTTATGCTATTTCAGAATCTCTTTTTTCCTCTCCAAATCTTTACTATCTTAAATTCTGGAACACAGTCTTGGTTTTAGAAGTGATCATTACCCATTTCTAAATAGAACTGAAGACTCTCTCCAAAGGTTAAGTAAATTCCTATTGTATCAGGCCACAGAAATGGATCTCCCAAAATGAACAAAACTTAATGACTCCTTAGTCACATATACCATTATATGTTAACTCATATACACGCTGTGGACAATATAAATACTTTGGTCTCTGAGATACTTGCTGGCAGATAGAGAGAATTTTAATACAGCATAGTAAGTGGTATGATGAAAATATGTATCCTAAATGCCTTGGGAACATAAAGTAGGGACACTCCTTGAAACCTAGGAGGAAGCTAGAGAGAATTAATGAACATTTTAAGGAAGTACAATGTCTGAGCAGTTTTGAAGGAAGAGCGCAGGGATTAGGGAGTTGGGGAATGGTTCCAGGTGGTGACAGTATTAAGAATGAGGCAGCATGGTGTGTTTGGAAAACTGTAGGTAGTTCAAAATTGCTGACAGGTCGGAGATGAAGCTGGAGCCAGACCATGGAGGCCCTTATGTGGCTTCTAAGGAGCCTTGGATTTTAACCACTTCGCCAGACACTAGTGTTTGTTGAGAAGTGAATAGATACGCTTTGCAAATAGATTCTCTTGTTAAATGAGGTCCTTAAATTTCTGCATAGCATATCCCTCACTTAGGCATTCTTAATTTGTGTGTGTATACTATAGGCTCCCAGAAGATCAGAGGTAAAGGAATCTGTAAATTCATTATGTCTGTTTCCCAAACTTAGAACTAAGTAGCATTTTTTAAAGATGAACTATTATCTTCTCAGAGAACTGTCCTAGTTAATGAGCCATTGAAGTTTTTAAGCAAAAGTAATACTTTTATTTATATATTTTTACTTAGTATACTTCCCATGACATATCTGAATAAAATTCATTAACACAGAGAATTGAAATTTGCCCCATTGCATGTCTGCAAAAGTAAGAAATTTGAGGAACAGATTATACCAGTGAGTGAACCTGAATGGTACATGTTCTTATTTGGGGGTTTAACTCCTCCAGGAATTTTGAGGTTTACTTCTTAAACTATATAGTTGTTACTAAGTAGAATGAATATAATGACTTTCCCAAAACAGTTAAAATTCAGAACTTTTTTCTTTAATGATGGCTTTTTCAGACCAATCGAAAAGTACAGAAACTTTATAATGAACACTGACCACCAATCTTAATAAACAAACATTAAAAGACCACAGTGTATCTTGCTCTAATTGCATTACTCTCCCTCCTCTAAAGGTAACTGCTGTCTTGAATTTGGTATTTGTTCTCATAGATTTCTGTATAGTTGTATTGCTCCTGTATGTATGCCAAAAGGAAGTGTCCTTTTGCATAGTTTTAACGTTTATGTAAATAGCTTAGTCCTACTGAAACCTTTTTTGTGTATAACATTATATTTGTGGAATTCATTTGTGTTAATAAGTGTAATTCTAGTGTATTTATTTTACCTGTTGATTTATAGTGTTCCATCATGAGTATGTTGTGCCCTTTTTTCTTTTGTGCCCTTTTTTAAGTTGTGCCCTTTTTTCTTTTGACATTACACTCATTTATAAGTGTCTCTTTTGACATTTGACGTTATATTCACTTATAAGTGTCTATTTTGTTTGGGTAAGAGATTTTCTAGAGTACATAGTAGGCATGAAATTACTAGGTATACATGTCTTCAGTTTTATTAGATATTGCCAAATTGCTTTCAAAAGTATTTATATCAATTTACTGACAGTGGATGAAAAGATTTCCTGTTAATTCATTATCTAAACTAGATTTTAACCTTCATATATTTGTGGGAAACAGGAAGAGTAAAACAAGCTAAAGATTGTGTCACTTAACATGGATTAACCTTGAGTTTTATTTTGTCTTTATAGATCTTGGAGAAATTCACTCAAGGCTGTTAGATCACAAGCCAATTATTCAAGGCGAAATCCGTTATTTTGTGAAAGAATTTGAAGTGAGTATTTAAAACTTATTTTGTAAAAATACTGCCCTGGCTGGTGTAGCTCAGTGGATTGAGTGCGGGCTGTGAACCAAAGTGTCGCCAGTTCGATTCCCAGTCAGGGCACATGCCTGGGTTGTGGACCAGTTCCCCAGTGGGGGCCACGTGAGAGGCAACCACACATTGATACTTCTCTCCCTCTCTTTCTCCCTCCCTTCCCCTCTCTAAAAATAAATAAAATACTACCCTAATTGTTAGTGTGTTCATATACAGAAGGGACATTTTCTAGTTTTAAAATTTCTGATTTCGTGCGTTCATAAAATTTACAAAATAAAACTAATTAAGAGTTATTACTATTAATGGAAGCAGCGCAAGACGAGGCAGGTGACTTGGGTTCAAGTTCTGTTGCCTACTCTGGCATATTTAATGTCTGTCGATCTCAGTTTTTTTTTTTTATCTCTACAATGAGATATGGGGGGGTGGGGGAGGTGAGAGAAGACCTTAAAGACTGATTGGCCTGTTCCAGACCCACTTTCTACATTTTTTTCTTAGGTGGGACTTCAGTACTCAAATTAAAAAGTAAGAATTATCCTTAGGTATTCTCTCATGTTCAGTGAGCAGGTCTTCTAGGTTATATCATAAATCTCTAGTCCTTTTAATTTAATGTGACTGCTTTATGAACCCAGTCAAATCCAATCTTTACCGTGCTGCAAGTGCTCTGACATTATTTCAATTTTTAAAACTCTTTGATGATAATTGCCATCTATAGGGTAAGAGTCCAAGCATTGTCCTGTGACCTATTCCCTACCTTTTATCTTTCATGCCCCACCCCACCTTGCATGCTGTGTTCCAGCAATACCAATGTACCAACTTGCCATCCTATTTCATATTATTATTTTGCACATATATAATTGGTTCCCCATTAAGGATTCACCTGATTTAAGTCAGACCCACTGAGGATAATCTCCCTTTTTTAAAGTCAACTAATTTGGGACCTAAAATGTATCTGCAGAGTATCTTCACAGCAGCACCTAGACTAGGGTTTGGTTCAATAACTGAAAGGACATCTGGGTACATTAGGGATGGGTCTTGGTGGCCATCTCAGTGTTCAGCCTACCATAAGCTCTTACAACTCCTTGGTAGTTTTCTTGTTATATACTTGTGTATTATCTATCTTCCCTCATTAGAATATAGGCATCATGAGAATGATAGGGACTTACTGTACTTTTCAGACTCTAAGATGCACTTTTTTAAACAATTTTTTGCTTCAAAATTTTTTCCCCTATTTTCCTCCTCTAAAACCTAGGTATATCTGGGGTCCACACTATAAGATACACATAGGTTTTAAAGGAGGAAAATAGGGGAAAAAATTTTGAAGCAAAAATATGGTAAAAAAGTGCATCCGATAGTCTGAAAAATATAGTACCTTTTTTATTTTCTGTTGTACTCAAAATGCCTAAAATAATGTCTGGTGCATTGTGGCTGCTTAATATGATCCAAAAAAACAAGTAGCTAAGCTTGAACTAAAACTTAGGTTTTCAACATTGTGATGTCATAAATCATCTTTTTCATAAGTCATCTTTTTTGCCAGTCTGGTTAATTTGAAATACTGAATAGTTATTATTTAAAAAAAAATTTAAATACACCTTTAAAGATCTACTCTATATTTAAAGAAGCGTAGAATTTTGTAATAATGGTGGATTCTCTAATTCAGTTTCCTCACTTCATAGAAACTGCTCCCAGAGATGGAAAGCAGTGTGTGAAAAGCCATGCAGCTAAGTAGTGGCTGAGTTATCTCTAGAATGCAGGTGTCATTGTACGTACTTCATTGTTCTTTAAATAATGTAGATACTTTCTGCAAAACTGAGTCTTGCATGGAAGACAAAAGAAGTGGCACATTTATGCTGCTGAATATGTTCTATTTAAGAGCTCACTTCATGTTGAAGCCAGTACCTCTTTTTTTTTGTTTGTTTTGTTTTTTATCTTTATCCAAGGACATTTTTCAGAGAGAGAGAGGAAGGGAGTGAGGAAAGATAAAAACATCTATATGAGAGAGAAACTCTCATTGATTGGTTGCCTCCTGTACATGCCTAGACCAGGGATCATTTGTGCCCCCATAGGGAAATGAATTCATAACCTAGGTATGTGCCCTGATTGGAAATCTGAACCGGCAGCCCTTTGGTTTTGGGACGACGCTCCAACCAACTCAGCCACTGGCATTTTTAACTAAGATGAAGGTAGTTGCCAGAAGCATATGTCAAAAGGAGATGAATTACAGTTGGCCCTCTGTTTCCATGGGTTCTGCCTCTGTAGATTGAAAATATTCAGCAAAAAAGTTACATTGTTGGTGTATATTACATACTTAAGCCTAAAATGGTTGTTTTATACTGAACATGTACAGACTTTTTTCTTGTTATTCCCTAAATAATACAGTATAACAACTATTTATAAAGCACTTACATTGTGTTAGTATTTTAGTAATGCAGAGATGATATAAAGTATTTGGGTGGCTGTGTGTAGATTATATGCAAATACTACACCATTTTGTGTAAGGGACTTGACATCCTCGGATTTTGTTATCTGCGGGGGTTCCTGGAACCAGTCCTCCATTATACTGAGGAACAGCTGTTTCTGCATTCTGGATTGTTAAGCCCTCAAAGAGCTTTTTGGAGAGGAGGCTGTGTTGAATAGAAAAAACATGGGCCTTGGACCTTTACGTATCTGAGTTATGTATCCTGGCACTCTTCTTACTAGTTATGAGTACTTGCTTTACTGAGGGTTAGTTTTCTTACTTTAAAAATGGGAACAGTAATATATGCTATGGAGGTTTTGTGAGGATTAAATGTAATGTTATTTTTAAAAATTCCTGGTATATATTACAAATGTTGACAAATGTTGGTAACTTATTAAGAGAAAACGGTAACAAGTATAATCAAATAGAAATGTATTAATTCAGAGTTTGCAGTAATTTTTATGAACTTGGGTTCAATATTTCATGTCTTAGGGAAAATAGGGATTTACTAAACAAGTGCCACAAGCATTATCTGAGCAATAACATTTACTAAAGAATAAAATTTTCACCCTAGGTATGATAGACACAAGCTTATATAAATGTCTTAAGCATTGATTTTGTGTGAGACAATACCAGGAACTAATGCATGAAACATTCTTATATTGTCTTTGAAAAACGGTCTCAAAAATATTTTGTCAGCCAAGTTTGAGCCATTATCTTCAACTAAATATATTTTCTTTTCTTGAAATGTACGTGATCCAGTCTTTTCACACAGTGACCCTCCCCAGTTGGTCTTTTTGAAAGTTTGGTGGAGAAAAGCTGAAAGCATTTTAGACTTTAGAATTAAAAGGATATGTACGATATTTACAATTCTTTTCTATGTTGGTCCAAACAGTAACATCCCCTGAACTTAATTAGTCTGAGTGCTCTTCACCCAGACTTGCATGGTCAGACAGAAAAGGATGGTAAAGCAGAGCTATCAGTAGATCTTCTTTATGCCATATAATTGTAGTTCACTTTAAGAAAAACTGACTAGTACTTGAAACTAAAGTTGTTTATAGTTTATATGTTTAAAAAAAAGCTAACGCACATGGTAACAATCATCTTTTTCTGTGTAAAATTTTATCTCCAAAAGAAGGGAATAAATGCCACATGGTGGCAGTATTACTTAAATTATTGAAGTAGTGATACCCTGTATATTTTAAGGTTTCTTTTTTTGTGTTTGCTAGTATTTCTGGACATTGACTGTCCTTCTCCTGGCTTTATACAAATCTTTTATCTTCTTGATTTCAGTGATCACTGAACAGAGATCCCATTGGGGTCCTTTCAGTGAACACTAGTTTGGTAGTGTCAGCGGGAAGGGGTGTTGTCTTCTGCACCGTTGTCTTTCTAGCCCTAAGGAGATGTTATGGCCTCTCTCTCATGAAGAACAGAGGAGAGACCTATGTTAGTCAGCATTTATAAAGTGCTTGCTTTTGGGGTATATGGCCCTGTTCAAGTTTCATATTTTATTTTTAGCAAATTTTGTTCTTTGAATACTTTATTGAATGGTTATTGAGTACCTAGGTATATCAGTAAGGAATGTGTTTAGTTACAAGTAACAGACACCTGAAAAATAGTAGCTTTAACAAGTGTGTATTTTTCTCTCACAAGACCCAGAGCCTATGGTTGGTATGGTGGCTCTATGATGTTAGCTTCCCCCACCCCCTGATTTTTTTTTCTTCTACCTCCCTGGGGTGTTGCTCTTATCCTTATATTTATACGTTGTCTTTGGGAGCTCCAGTCTTGACATCTGCATTTCATGTAGCAAAAAGGCAGGTGGGAAACATCTAGCAGTCTGTGTTACAGGCAAATTTACCACTCCTAATAATATTTGGGTGCTGCTAGGAAGAAGGGAGAAGAGAGTAGATCCAGGACTATGTCTCACAATAGGTATGTAAAAATAAGTAAGAAAAGTCTACCTCCAGGAAGTTTATAAACTAGAGAGAAGAAAGACATCAAACAAAGAGTTTTAAGGGTGGAATTACTATGACAAAATAAGCCCAAAGTACTTAAGATCACAGAGGAGGAACCAACTCTCAACAGAGATGGAAAGAAAATTTTCACAAAGGAGGTGATGTTTGAGCTGAGAAAGAAAAACAGATGTTATCCAGATAGGAAAAAAAATGATTACTAAAATTAGAGGCAAAAAACGTATTCAAATAAGTATAGTATTTATAGGAGTAGGGACGGATTGTGTTGATGAGTTTGAATGTGAGTTAAACTGATCTAGAGAAAATCCCTTAGAAGGCAGGACAAACTAGAATTTCACTTGACATCCTGACCTCTCATTTTTAGTTTGCTTATTAGAGTAACTGTCAGATTATTAAATATCAGTATAAAGTCTATCCCATGTTGCATGTAATAAATATATGCACAATATAGTTTAAATTTGGAATACTGATCAATTTTGTAATGGAAAGAAAATTTTAAATAGTTTCATTTTTTTCTAATACTTTCAAAT